TTTAGGCTCTTCTTGTGCTGGGCACCCGTGGGCTGCAGGAGTGTCTGGAAGCAACCGCTCTGCTGCCACCAAGTGGCCGTGACAAGCCTGAGCCCTGGTGTCTGGAGGAGCTGCGTGACCAGCCACGGGCTTGCCTCCTGCTCAGCCATCGCAGGCCTCCCAGACCCCAGCTGGCCGGTCTCAGGGGCATCTCCCCACTTTTGCAGCCATTGCAGCTGGGATGACAATGAAGACAATGACAACTTCCAAAAATAATGTCCCTCATCTGACAACCTGGGGGCAGTGTGGCCTGGCCTAGCACATGCTGTTGTTCTCGACTGTTCCACCTATCTGGCCTCACTGGCACCGTCAGTGAGCTCCTTTGGGCCGGAAGACGGTGCCCTGACTGTGTCTGGGTCTACGAACACGCCTCGGGCCTCTCCTTCACTCTATGGCCGAGCTTCCATTCACTCAGCAAGGACCCCTTGGCTGGGGATGTGGCCCTGTGCCCTTTGGGCCATTTGGGGTCCACACGCTCATCCATCCCAGCAGGTGGCAGAGGTGTGCGGGGGACACAGGGGACTGCTAGCAGCGGGGATGCCCCTTTCTGGGCCGGCAAGCAGGGCGAGCACACTGGAGCTGCGTCTATCCGCACTTCCCAGAAGGCAAGGGGACACACCTGCCCTGGAGAAGCAGCGAAGGCCCACCGCGGCCACCATGGGGCAGGGGGCAGGGCGAGGCTGAGGTCAAGGGCCTTGGCAGCCTGGTTATGGGTGATCACTGGGCAGTGCTCCGTGCCCTGATTTCTCCTGGCCCAACAGAGACCTGATGGCTCCCAGTGGGAAGGGCGTGCCCGGCCCCGTCCACACCTGCCCCAGGCTCAGCTAACCCCGGGGACAGCCCACTGCGTCTGTGGGGGCATGTGCTGCCTGCTGGAGCGCTCGCCCCTCCCTGCATGCCCAGGGCAGCTCCCACAAGTGCACGTTTTCTGACTGATTGGCAGGACGCAAATGGCCCAGCGTCGGATGCCCCCTCACCTCTCACACCCCTCCCCCAGGACCACGCCCTGTGCAGTGTCAAGGCCCCCGGGTGTCCCTGGTGACTCCCCCACAGACAGACACTCCTAGATTCTGAGCCAGGGCCTGCACTCCAACACCTACACGGCTCCAAACAGGCCCTTCCCTGAGAGTTGCCCACCTGCCCTGAGCCCCGGCCCCTGGGGGCTCCCCAGGTCAGTCACGCAGCCCGTCCCTCGCCCTCGTCATCCTGCAGCCCTGAAGGCCTCCTTTCATGGTGGGAGGCAGAGCTGGCCACAAGCAGGAAGAGGGCCTTCCAGCAGGCAGTACAGGGCCTCTGTGTGGGGCTGAGGGGCTCTACCGCCACCGCCCTGCCCAGCCTCCCTGTCGGGCCTGTTTCTGCCCAAGCACTTCCTGCAGAGGCGCGGTGTGAGGAGAGCCACCTGCCACCCAGCTCCCGGAGCAGCTCCCAGAGTGGGTGCTACCTCGGGCCGCACAGGGTCCTCGATGCCCACGACGGCTATGCAGGTGAGCTCCGCCACAACCTCGCTCTCGTTGTCCCAGTCGGGCTCCTGGCCTGCAGAGAAGTCCCGGTAGGCGATGCAGATGGTGCGGAGGCCATCGCAGGCCATTGGCTCAATGATCTTCTTCACCATGTCATCCCGGTCCCGAGGCCGGAAGCCTCGGAGTTCGCCGTTGCTGTTCAGGATGTTGGTGCACCTAGGGAGGGGCCGGGGTGGAGGCGAGAGAACAGAGGGGACAGCACCAGTCATGGGAGGACACAGACACACACAGACCCGGGGATAAGGCCACGGTCAGTGCAAGGCGACTGCAGGCAGTGTGTGGGGAGCCCCAGGGAGGCTGCCCTAGAGGCTTTG